ACGTTGGAAGCACTGTCTGACGCGTCTGCCTCCGCGACCCGAGAGGAGAAGCGGCGATGGAAGATGAAGATGAAGACAAACAAATTTCTGTATTTTACCGGTCTTTCGCTAAAATGCATGCGGCGTCAGCTGGGTTTTGAAAAGATGACATTGGCATTCTACTGTTGGCACTGGGCACTCGCTATTGCTGGAGATGAAGGAGCCGAAATACTCTATGTGTTTAGCATCTTCTGCCTTTTCATTCCCCTGCTGATTATGGATGCATTGTGACAAGAAATATTTCGTGATTTTCAGCTTCTTGGTTTAAAGAAAAGAATTAATATCGTTAAACATTCCCAAACAGAGGCCCGCAGGCTAATAAATCTGTTTGCGTGCTATTCAGTAAAATAATATCTGTGAACTCTATTTCAGTAATATCTTACTAGTATCTACGGGGCACTTCTCGAATGAGACCTTCGTTTGATGAATAACATGGAAAGTGAACCTCGTCATCTGATGGCTTTCATATGTAACATCCCTTGGCAAGCTGACATTTTCGCCAACGTTCAGAGCTCTAGTCTAAAGCTGCATGAGTCAAAGGGCACAACAGACTGGCAAGTGCAACATGGAAGCAGTATCTATAAATTCAATTATTTTGATTCCGTTACCTCTTGTTTCGCGACATTTGACAATTTGTCAATATCTGCGCTGAGAAGTGTTTCGGCTAAAACACGATGGTACCTTGACCCGATCAAGTCCGTGGTCCTGTAAGACTTACAGAATGTCGCTCGAACAGAAGATCAGGAACGGCGGTTGAGCATCTAAGAATAGCGGCGATTTCGACGCACAATGAAGGCTAAATGGCAGGAGTAAGTAAGTAATATCTTTGTTCTTTTCCAGGTATAGGGGCCATAGTAAATGTACAGAATAGCAACAGGAGGTTGACAAAGTGGGAGAAATCGTTTGAACATATACCCTTCACTTCAGGCAGCGAACTTCGCACCTGGAAGCGAAATTAAACAGTCCTCAATCAGGAAGCCAACAAAGACGCTAGGAAAAGGGGGAAAAAGAATCAACAACATTTTAGCATCATAACCATTGAACTTCTGACAGTGTGTTAAATCACAAAGGAAGCGACGATAAAACGTACACTAAATGAACATACTATCCAAACAACACGCAAGCACAACAAAATTACCTTCAGTCACATCTTTCATGAACTTTCGAAAGCTTGGTTCGTTGAACTCGTCATAAACTTCAGGGTCCATTACGTACTTATAGCCATCTTTACCGTATACGACGGCATTTACATCCATTCCGGATTCGGCTAGACCAACTTCCTTGAGCTCTGTGATGAATGAAGTTTCGTCTGATACGGCAAAAGTATAATCTGGATAGTCGACGGCCACTGCAAGGACCTTATGGCGCCAATACTGCGTTTCTGAAATCTGTTGACGATTAAATTGTTTAACTGAATTCAATAATACTTTAAATCATCAAAACATTTCTATTCCTTACATTCCTATCAAAATATGAAAACATTTATTACGAAAAAGCAGGCAGAGTTCTTGAAATCAACCAAGATGGATTGAAAATAGCTGCATTATTTTTTTATTTTTTTAAATGAAGGATATAAAATCAGGAATGTAGAGTATAATCTTTTTTGCAAGTCAGTCCGGAAGAAGCTGAAGGAGGATCTCGAAGACTGCAGTCATCGTAGGTGATTAACGGCGGTTGAAAAAAACCAAAGCCTAAAGAAATGCAGAAGGAAATTGATGTTGTACCTTAAACAGCACCGGCGCTGAAAAATAAGGATGGACGTCGAATCACGGATCGAACAGTTACGGAAGAACTATGTAGAAAATTCTACACAAACTGTGTCGACGTACCAACACCTGAAATTCGAAC